TTTGTTACAGGAAGACAGATCTAGGTTTCAAAGGGGAAAGTTACTTATCCTCTTTGACACAAGTCTACCAGACTTGCTTAGCAATCAGACAAGGTTTATAATTGCGTCTCCAAACCTTTCTGGTGTGCCACAATTTTCAGCCTTCTGCAGCACACTGATTTCTGACCAAAGGCTTCTATTCCATCAATGCCCCTTTAAATTAACCTTAGATGACTGATAGCACCATATTCCACTCACATATAGTGAAGCCATGAGTTAATGAATCAACCCCCTGAAAGCAAGATGCACTCTCCTTTTAAATTATGTTTTAGCTTATAGGGGATATCAAGTTCTTGATATGTGACTCTTGTCTTGCCATATGTGCATCTAATTTACAGATAGTAACTGAGGGCCCACCCTATACCAGACTTAGTCCCTGCTCTCAAATCTTTACAATACACTTGGGGAATGCAGGCATTGCATATAAACTAAAAATTATCTTGAGTGGGTTGTTAAGGATATAACAGACATGTTAATAAGAAGGAGCTACCATGGTAAGCTGGTTATTTTAGCTAAAGCAAGAAAAAAGTAAGAAGTGCTCTTTTAGACCTAAGTTTTGGATAAAGATACAGACAGACATGAATCAGAACAGATGGCAGACATTGCAGGCAAAGAGAACAATTCGTACAAAGGCCCTGAGGTCAGAATACCAATGCTAAGTTTGGGAAAAGCAAGCTGTATGAGGAGAGTCACTAGTGACAGAAAAGTGGGCAGGATCCAGCATTGAATCTGAAGAAGTCACTTTGGGCCACAGCATTGTAAATAAGCAAACAAACAGGAAGCTGAAACAAATATTACAGATGGTTTGGCATGAAATGTCGAGCCTGGCAGATGTTCCTGAGAGCAGTAACACTTGAATGGTAGAGACAAGAGATGAATTGGGACAGGAGCTCAAAAATAAATGACTTTGGGAACCAGCACTGCTCATACTGACCTCTCATTCTACATTCGTGGGAAAGACTTTAATGCTCAGTGTGAGGAAATGCTGCAAAGACACATGGACACGTCCTAAGTGAAGGATGAAAGTATATGTAAGAGACAGAATCGTGGGAGCTTCACTGACCTACAGCATGAGTGACATGCTTAACAGCATTCAGTCTCATTAAAAAGTACTTTGCAGACAAAAATGAAGCACATCATTAAAAAGTGCTTTGCAGGGAACAACTAAACACATTCAAGAAAAAAGCCAAGCTCCCCCCAACCCCCCATCATCAACATGCAATGCTGAGCTAGAGAAAAGGCAAGGAGAGGCTGGAATTGAGGAGTTGATAGAGTGCAGTCTCATGAAAGTCAAGAAAGAGTTACATCTTGTGTTTCTTGGAACTAAACAAAGAATGCTTTGTCAGGCAGCTGCCCAAGTGCCATAATACCAATAACGGAAAGGCACCATTTGTTACAAAGCTTGCAGAATCTACAAGTGGTGATAAAAGAAAGTGGGCCAGATAAGGAGAGGCAGGAAGGGTAACCACATGGTCCACACAGTGACCACACACACTTCTGAACAATTCTGACCTTAGGGAATCAAAGGATGGAATCACCCTTTCACACAAAGGTCACTCTAACTGTTAGAAGCTTTTTCCTAAATGTGATCTTTCCTTTCTTGATGTTGACATCTGTCTCCTTGCAGCCTGATACTCCTAGATCTTTGTTTAGCAGCCACACAGACATATTAATGTCACACAGAACATGTTTAATGTCCTTTCAAAACATTTCCAGACTTTTAGAAACAGTGACTCTGTTGTCCTCTATCTATAAATATTCTGATTCCCCTTATAAGTATCTTTGTCGCAAATCTTCTTCCCCTTTCTCTGTTTCCAGAACTTGCCATCCTGTACTGTTTTTGTGAGTCTTCTTCAGTTCTCACTATTCTTCTTAAAGCTGTGCTCTCACGGAAGGGAGCCTTAGGAGCAAATTTAACAACTGACTTCTTCGGAATCATACCGTAAGTCTGCAATAGTAGGAGTGCAACTCCATTCACTGAGCTGGCCTCTTGATCTTCCTATTTCCCACCTGTCTCCCTTCAAGGCAGCCTGTTTGTTGTGTCATAAAGAGATACATAATACACAGTGAGTGATTTCATCAGTATAAAGAATGTCATCCCTCATCACCCTATCATTTCTGATTAAGATCACTAAGTCTAATGTACATTGCATCTTGTACCAATAATGCCTGCATGATGCTACATGCTCACCATGCCTCTTGCTAGACATTACCTTATTATGTACTCAAAAGAGAGGCTTCTCAAACAAAGAGGAAGATTAAACTGAGGCTGAGCAGCTAAAGGCAGAGGGAAAATTGGAAACGTGATTTTTACTCACTCTGGAAAATAGTGCTAAATGAGGACATCCAACAGCCTAGTTTGAAATCTAGGTTACCCATCACTTACTCTCTGTATATGTTCAAAGGCAAAATTAGCAACAACAACAATAAGTACAACCTATTAATAACTGTTTAGTATGTACCAATCCTCAACACCCTCTTTTAGGCACTGTATGTCACATAATACACATGCCAAGTTTTGAAGTGGTAAGAATTATCCATTTTAAAGATAAGAAAATTAAGACACAGCAGCCCAGTGTCTTTATGGGCTGTCACTTCCTCTGTAGGTTGCAATCAACTTGAATCTGTTGTTCAATGTCTTTCTAGTCTTTATCTCTGTAGAGCATTTTATAAGCTAATACTGACTGAAAATCATTCTTATGGAAATTACTTCATCATATCGAGGGGACATATGGGATGTAGTAACATGTGTTGCTTTCTTTGTGAGGCTAGAGATGCCACTAGAGCATGCGAGAAGGGTGAGAGAGTATTAGGTGAAAGGCCAGGTACTGTGCAATGTCAGCCATTGTGTCGTGTATGGTCCTGAAACACAGCTTCTGTCAATAGCATATTTAGAACACAAACAAGATTCAAGGTGACTGATCAGCCTAAGGAAACAGTGTTTTCAAGCACTTTGAATGCCTTCAGCAGCATTCACTTGTATATAAATCATGTGGTAATGTATTCATTAGAATACCCTGTACTTGGCAACATTTTATTAACCTTGGTTTACATTAATAAGCTGTGTACTTGTGTTTTTAATATATCTCTGTATAATGATCCTGTAACTCTGATTTTCTTCCTACACAGACAAAGCCATTATCAATCCCCAATCTACATTCTACATCTGCTGAAACTGAGTTCACATTAGAGTGTTTAGAGGCTTTGGGAAGCCCATACTGTGCACAGTACCTACTCTTACACCTAGAACTATATCAGAATCACCTGCAAGGGTTTTGATACATATAATAATTTATTGCCATGTGCCTTTGCCATCTACCCAAACATAATCTCTAGAGGCAAAGATATCCCTAAAGTATAAGAGTTTCAGCTACTAAGTCACAAGTAGGCACTCAAAACTAGCAGCTAAACAGTGTCTACCCTACACAAGTTCATAGCAAGTGTTGGAAAATGCATCAAGTGACCCAACAAGTCCCAGGACTTATTAAATGCTGACATTCTTTATTTACAATGTTTGGATAGCCATTTTAATGTCCAGCTAATTAGGAAAAATCCTATGAACATATGCAGAGATGTACTGTCCATGTGACCCCTGGGGACAAGTTGAAGATCTTATCTTCTTATAGGTCTAGTTGACAGAGACACATAATAAACAATCAAAATTATAAATAAAAGTGGAAATTGTTTCCAAAGGGCAGGAAGAGGAATATCAAATACATGACTATTATCTGCCTATCCTATGTGACACCCATGGTAGATAATGCTAATCAAGCCAAGCAGCTTTCCTTGTCACAGCTAAAGTACTTTTAAAACAGTCACTCTAGGGCACTGGCAACACCTGAGCAGTGCTCAAAAGCATGGGATGTATTTTGCCTTCCATTGCTACAGACAATATGTAAACTGAAATGACTGCATTTTCTTCTAACCCATTCTATCATAGGCAGTGTTTCACATAGCATAGGTAGACACTAGACGGTTCTTATGTGGACAAGACCCTAGAGTAGAATCATGCAGCCCTTGATGCTTCATATAGTGCTGACTTGACATTTGTATCTTTGGACGGAAAGATCCAGAAATCATCCAACTTCTAGAATGTTCAGGAGACATGCCTCACACACATGTCACGTAAACCAACCTTGTTTTTGTTGAGGATAACTCAAAGATCCACTTTGAAGATACGCTCTTTGGAGAGACAAGTGGAGACAAAAGTGGGCTAAATGCAAAGGCAGCATGCTCTTTGTATGTATATGGTGTGTATGTATGTATGCACATGCTAGTGTGCATGCATATGTATGCACATATGCCAGAGGTTGGCACTGAGTATATTCCTTCATAACTTCCCATCTTTTTTTCTTTTTTAAGATAGGGTCTTGTTGACCCTGTAGCTCACTGTTTTGGCTAGACTGATGGCCAGTGAGCTCCAGGGATCTACCCATCTACTTCATGACCATTTTGTTCCTAGCTCTTGGGTTACATACATGCATGTACTGCTATTCCCAGCTTTTTATAGGGCTTCTAGGGTTCTAGTAAACTCAGGCTTTATGATTACATTGGAAGCCATTTATCCACTGAGCCATCTCCCCAGCTCCCAACGTTAGCACATTCATCTCGAAGAATCATATGTCATTCAGCTTGATTTTTATTGGTAACACTTTACATTGTGGAGATTCAGGGTCATGTCTTCACACAGATATTAAGTGTCCTGGTAAACATGACAAAGCAGAAATCACAAGAACACTTGGTTTGCTATTGGGTTTCATCAGTTTAAAAAAATCATTATAATTCATTTATTTTACCTCTAATGGTCACTCTTAGCCTGTTAGCTTCTTCTGCTACTTCTCAAGTCCTACTGGGTAGAATACCATTTTAGATCATGTCTGGGGTGACATCTAGTTAACTCAGTTGATTTCATCATACCAACAGGCCCTGTAATCAAATGATGTCACAAAGGACAGACTCACCTCATCATAGATGTTGTCATTCCTGCGGAAGTCCCCTGCTTTCCTTGGAAGAATGTGGACATGTACATGCTGAAAGTATAAAAGAAAGAAAAAATGTATTTAATTCACCTTCTATCTTTTGACTTGTCAGTGACGCTTTCCTGAAGGCCAATTACTCTCCACTGGTTCTTGCTGGATTATTTTTCAGAGGAAGATGATGTTCACCTTCAGAAACTACATCTGAAATCTGCCGAGAGTAAAGAAGCACAAAACAGGAGGGACACAATGTGGTGGCATACGGGAGTTTCTGGGAAATGTCAGAGTATATTACAGGATCTGTGGAGCTATTCGTCACTGTCAGTCTGGGCTGTAGTTAGCCAGTGCTTTGAAATGACAGTGTGTCTTCAGAGATGGCTGTTGTGACTCTGAAACTGACAAGAGATAAGAATCAGCCAACAGAGAACTGCATAAGTAACCAGTGAATTAGTGAAGGGAGGAAATAGTATGGGCCAAATCAAGAATACTACCTTTGAATAATAATTATATAACTGTAAGACAGACAGTTCTCACTCATTCTTATTTTGTATGACAACCAGAGCTTGTATTAGTACTGGACAGTATTTCATTTAGTACTCCCACAATGCCTTTCTGAAGTGATCTTCATTTTACAGAAGGAGACACTAATATTAAGAGAGGTCAGAGCTCCAGTTCCATAGAAAGTGGTAGAGTCTTCACAGGAAATGATGTCACATGGCTCTTGTCCTCTTGTTCATTACCAGCAAACACATTAATTCTGTGAACTTAATCTTTTTTTAAAAGTTTAAATTAAATTTAGTTTCTCTCTCTCTCTCTCTCTCTCTCTCTCTCTCTCTCTCTCTCTCTCTGTGTGTGTGTGTGTGTGTGTGTGTGTGTGTTTATGTGTGTGTATGTGTGAAGGTCAGAGGACAATTGGCAACAGGTTCTCTCCTTCTACCTTGTGCATTTGGGGGATTGAACTCTGGCTGTCAGTCTTGGCAGTAAGTACCTTTACTGATGAGCCTGCTTACTGGCCTTCACTTAATCTTTTAAATCCCTCGCATTCCTGGTCTAGTCTACTAAAGCACCCAGGTAATAGACACAGCAGTCTTACCAGTCAGAGATCATGACTCAAGGATCACAGCATTTCTAATTCAATATATATTCCTCAAGGCTAAACTATTTGAAAGTTTTACTCTACTAATGGCATCTATTGTATCTCTTTATACCTAAACCTTATTCATGCCCTGGAGACATGAATAAGCTTTTTGAGACAGGGCTTCTCTGTGTAGCTTTGTGCCTTTCCTGAACTCACTCTGTAGCCCAGGATGGCCTCAAACTTACAGAGATCCACCTGCCTCTACCTCCCAAGTGCTGGGATTAAAGGCGTGCGCCACCACCGCCTGGCTTATTTCTTCTTTTATTATTAATCGCAGAGAATGGAAAAGACAAAGTATGAAACAACAGGCAAAGAATCAAAGCACATTCTGCAATACCACCACCCTTTGATTAGTGTGGTTGGGCTACAACCATGGACACCTCCAGAGAACAGAACATGAAATGTCTCTATGACTTTGTGTACAAGGAAGGGAGAATGATAAGCTATTGCAGGAGAGGTAGTGAGCTAGGCTGTCCAAGTTGAATGAAACACAGAGGAGTTTCACATCAGTTCCTGAGCTCTGATCCCCAAACAGTGACACATTTCTGTCAAAATATCCTTCAGTCAATGATGAACCCAATGTCAAACCCTTCAGCAACTGGGCCATAGGCATACTTAAGTCTCAGACTATGTGAGTAAAGAGAGAGGGATACAGAAACAAACAGACATGGAGAAATAAGTTACAAATGACCCAGGAACCAAATTCTTAAAAGAAAGCAATGCAACATGGGTCCAAGAAGAAATGGGCCATGCACAGTAGCTGAATGATTAAGACATCAGACTAGAGAGCACAAAGGCGAGAGCCCACCAAGTCTTCACTTGCAAATCCTGATATAATACTTTCTTATTTTCCTCCTTTCCTTCCTTGTGGGGCATACATGGGCTGCAAAGAGGGTGCCAAAAGAAATTTAGATAAACAGAGCTTAAGCTTTAAGCTGTTTATGCAGAGAGTGGATACAAGTGGTACCAGAGGAAGTTAGTTTAAGCTGTTTGTGCAGAGAATGGATACAAAGGATGGCTAAGAAGAAGTTAGCTTGGGTTGTTTGTATGGAGATTAAAGACAAATGGTTGAGAAAGGAAGTTAGCTCAAGTTATTTATGCTAAGATAAGATACTAAAAAACAGGAGATGATGTCAGGGCATAAACAACTTGTAAATAGGGTGACCTTTAAAATGATTGGTTGGTTCCTTCATCCCCTCCTATGGTTCTGAGGTTTTCTGATATAAAAGAGGTTTACTGCCTATCAATAAATGAGTTCTTTTTTTCTTTTCTTTATTTTATTTTATAATTTAATTTAATTTTACATATCAGGCACGTATTCTCTTCCCCCTCCACGTCCCCCCCCGCCCCCCGCCTTCTCCCCAGCCCACCCCCCATTCCCATCTCCTCCAGGGCAAGGACTCCCCCGAGGATTGAGTTCAACCTGGTAGATTCAGTCAAGGCAGGTCCAGTCCCCTCCTCCCAGGCTGAGCCAAGTGTCCCTGTATAAGCCCCAGGTTCCAAACAGTCAGCTCATGCACTAAGGACAGGTCCCAGTCCCACTGCCTGGATGCCTCCCAAACAGATCAAGCTAATCAACTCTCTCACTTATCCAGAGGGCCTGATCCAGTTGGGGGCTCCTCAGCTATTGGTTCACAATTCATGTGTTTCCATTTGTTTGGCTATTTGTCCCTGTGCTTTTTCCAATCTTGGTTTCAACAATTCTCACTCATACAAACCCTCTGCTCTCTCGCCAATTGGACTCCTGGAGCTCCCCTTGGGGCCTGGCCATGGATCTCTGCATTGGGTTCCCTCAGTCATTGGATGAGGTTTCTAGCATGACTATTAGGGTGTTTGGCCATCCTATCACCAGAGTAGGTCAGTTCGGACTTTCTCCTCAACCGTTGCCAGTAGTCTATTGTGGAGGTATCTTTGTGGATTTCTGTGGACCTCTCTAGCACTTTGCTTCTTCCTATTCTCATGTGGTCTTCATTTATCATGGTTTCTTATTCTTTGTTCTCCCTATCTGTTCTTGATCCAGCTGGGATCTCCTGCTCCCCTAAGCTCTCTTTCCCTCGACACTTGCCCTTCATTACCCCCACTCAGTTTGTTCATGTAGATCTCATCCATTTCTCTGTCATTGGGTGATCCCTGTGTCTTTCTTGGGGTCCTGTTTTCTAGGTAGCCTCTCCGGAGTTGTGAGTAGCAGTCTAGTCATCTTTGTTTCACATCTAGTATCCTCCTATGAGTGAGTACATACCATGCTTGTCTTTTTTGAGTCTGGGTTACCTCACTCAGGATGATTTTTTCTAGATCCATCCATTTGCCTGCAAACCTCATGATGTCATTGTTTTTCTCTGCTGAGTAGTATTCCATTGTGTATATGTACCACATTTTACTTATCCATTCTTCAGTTGAAGGGCATCTAGGTTGTTTCCAGGTTTTGGCTATTACAAACAATGCTGATATGAACATAGCTGAGCAAGTGCCCTTGTGGTATGATTGAGCATTCCTTGGGTATATGCCCAAGAGTGGTATAGCTAGGTGTTGGGGGAGATTGATTGTCAATTTTCTAAGAAAGCGCCATATTGATTTTCAAAGTGGTTGTAGAAGCTTGCATTCCCACCAGCAGTGGAGGAAAGTTCCCCTAGCTCCACATCCTCTCCAGCATAAGCTGTCTTCAGAGTTTTTGATCTTAGCCATTCTGACAGGTGTAAGGTGGTATCTGAGAGTCATTTTGATTTGCATTCCCCTGATGATTAGGGATGTTGAGCAATCCCTTAAATGTCTTTCAGCCATTTGAGCTTCCTCTGTTGAGAATTCTCTGTTTAGTTCTATAGCCCATTTCTTAATTGGACTGTTGGTCATTTTGATGTCTAATTTCTTGACAAATGGTGAGAAAGAAAGTTAGCTCAAGTTATTTATGCTAAAATAAGATACTAAAAACAGGAGATGGTGTCAGGGCTTAAACAACTTGTAAATAGGGTGACCTTTAAAATGATTGGTTGGTTCCTTCACCCCCTCCTAGGCTTCTGATATAAAAGAGACTTACTGCCTATCAATAAACGAGTTCTTTCTTGACTTGACTCCCCACTGCATCTGATTATCTCTGGGTAAGAGGGAGGCTGGGCAACAGGCTAGCAGCATGCACTTGCCTTTCCTCGGTTCCAGACCACCTCTTCACAGGTGACCTAAGTTACTGGTGAGGCAGGTCCCCATACTTCCTCATCAAGACCCTTTTTCTCTTTCTTCCTTGATGTCATCCACATGTTCTCCACCCCATTTCTTACACACAAGTCATCACAATTTTCAGATCAATGCTCTGTACTCAAACTTCCATAGGGCATAGAATATAATAGTAACAGCTCCTAACTAGAGTACAGTATGCACAATGCAGTTGGACGTCCTTGTGCTAGCTGTGTTACCTTGCAACAGCAGGCCTGTGACTTGGCATCTTTCTCTGTAAGGGGCACTGCAACATTCCCACCTTACAGGCCTAATCTATCAAGTCTGCTAAGCACATGGTTGTCATACACCTATAGTGCTACTTGGCACAGTGTTCTCAATATAAGCAGATGCAGTGGGAGTATCTTTACTGTTCATTCAGTGACTGGTTTGTATATCAACAAGAATGGCATTTCAGAAGCCCCTTGGATAGGGCACTATTCAAGCATCTCTTTTTGCAGAATTTGTTTCTGGTGCTTTGATTACCAAACAGAAGTAAAAGTTGGTATTGCTAAAATTAAGGGCCTTCTAATTTACTTTCTAATAATTTCCCAAGGGATGCTGCTCAAGGGTTGCACTTTGAGAGCCACTGACTAAGACAACCCCTTTTGTTCTTAGACCTGCTCTTGTGAAATGCACTGAGGCAACACCAGCTTTGGCCTGTGTCATGTGAAGACCTATCTCCATATGCTGCCCAGGTTTTTGGCACTGA